CACTTGTTGTTCCCTTGTCCCTGTGCTTGTTAACAACCTCTTCCTTCCTCCCCCACTGCTTTGTCGCCATTTGGTACCAGTTTTAGTTGGTAAAGATCATGTAGAAACAAACAAATGGTTAAAAATAAACGTTAAATAGCATAATTAAAACCACAACATTTTTTTAAACTACAACATTTTAAGATATTATAAACCCTGATCCAGCAAATGCATTCGTTATAAATGGCTATATGGTAGAAGTTCTGGCTTTTCACCTGTTTCCTTCAGGTGACTCATATGCCAGGAGCAGGTTCAAAGGCTGCCTTGCCTCACCCTAGGCACTCTGTGAAAATGCTGCGTTTGCTTTTACAACACAAGAGGTGACTGTGGGAAGCTGAACAGACAGGTCCTACCAGTTTCAATCACCACTGCCCTGATGAGATGATATTTTATTTCCTCCTCAAATAAGACCTTACAAAAAAATTACTCAAGGTCCCTTGAGTTCTAACACTACCATCTAGGCACTGGTCATTCACTATCAAAGAACACACACACACACACACACACACACACACACACACACACACACCCAGCTGTCCCCCCACCAGATTTGACAGAAGACTGGTGAGCACTGGGCTTCACAACAGGAGCTGCCTCCACACAGCCCCAGAGGCAGAGTGCATGGGAACCTCGGGGAGGTGTCTTCACAGCGCTGCCTAGCACCCCATCCCCCTGGCTTCTCGGCAGAAACCTCCAACACGAACATCCTCCAGCAACATTCACGTCCCTTCTCTTGTTCTTACTTCTGTAGCGTTAAGGAGAGCAAGGGAAAGCCTATGAAGATGTCGTTTTATGTTAACAAGGAAATATAGAAAAAGAGAGTACATTCAATTTTTAAATGAATTATTATTCTAATACTGTTTAGCAAAACATAAGAATGTGTTCCACTGTATCATAGGGGTAAAGGAGTGAACAAGACTCCTTAAATAGCAATACCCTTGAGAATTTTCAAAATATAGATTGTAGTATGGCCACCCTTGAACATAAATTATGTTCACACTACATAAAGTGCATTTTATGTCAGGCTATGTTCTGCTGTTTGCTTAAGCGCCACACCTGAACAGGGATGACAATCAACCCATGTACACACACACACACACACACACACACACACACCTGCAAGATCCACCCAGATGGCTAGTGGCTTAGTCAGAAAGTCCTGCCACAATCAAGCTGGCTACAGTCTGTGCCCCTCAGCACTACTAAAACCGCTTCTAATAAGAGATGAAGAATGAAATTAACCACAACAACATAGGAATCTGGACAACAGAAGACTGCTTTCTGAGCCCAAAAGAGAGAGCTGGATATGACTGTCTTTAGGGGTTTTACTGTCACCAGAGCATAACTTGGTCAACCCAATAACACTGTAAAGTTTAACTAGTAAACAGGAATTTCACATGCAATACCTGAGGTTCAGAAAATATGCTTCCCAAACATTTACAATTTGGGGGCATCATATTATTTTACAATTTACTAGCTCTCGATTAACTCCATAGTAACAGAATGACAACATATGAAAAGACTGAGATCCTGCTGCAGTTTAGAATTCACCAGAATCTTCTCACCTCAATGTCGAACGTCTCCACGGTGCCATCAAGCAGCTTCACCCTGACTTGGAGGTGCTTCTCCTGCGCCCGGGCTGGGTTCCGTGCCATTGCTGCCAACAGGCCCTGGCCGGGCTCCAGTGTGCTCACCCCAGTGGGGCTCTGGGTTCCCAAGCGTGTCCCCGGTGTCTGTAGGACTCTGTACGTCCCTTCAATCTCTCCCATGCTCTGCCTGCTAGAAGTGAAGCAGACAGACCACACAGTCACCACCCATTAGTTGGACAATGAGACAATGGAACAGAAATATTGAGTACACAGGGACTCTCCACACTATTTTCTCAACTTCTGGCAAGCCTTCAATTACAGCAGAAGAAAAAGTTCAAAAGAGCACAATCAGCTTCTATAAGCGAGGCAGGCATCGATCCGTTAACCCATGGCCCCCAGTGAGACTTAAAGCCCAGTGGTTACTGAGGTTACCACTTGGAGGACCTACCCCCACTCACAAAGTGAAGGGCCTCTCCTCTGCCAGGCTGCCCAGGGCCCCCCATTCCCACACCCCCACTGCCATTATCTGATTCCCCATTGGCTCCAAACAGACCCTGTCCTGACGAGCTTTCAATGTCGGTGCAGATTCAGAATCTGTCGGGCAATTCTTAGCTGGCTGGACGCACTCACGGGTGCTCATTTCTTCCGACTGCCACTCAGGACAGGAGAAAACGCAGAGAAGTCAGTGAGGACTACCAGCCTTGCCTTCCGTGCCAGCTTTCCACTCTTTGGTCTTTCTGTATCAGTGTCTCACTGAGATGGCACGGACACCATGAAGCCAGGAGGTAACTCCAGACATCACACTGGATGACAGTTTGGGTGGTGGCCATGAGGACAAGCACTTAGTATCAACGTCCCCAGCACCTGCCAGAAGCTACCCTCACAATAACCAGCTATACCACCACCATTTCACAGATAACGACACCGAGGGCTGAGCGGGCCCCTTAACTAGCTGAGTGTTGCTCTTGGTGCACTTAAGTCAGACCAGAGTAACGGGAGCGCTGGTGGTGCTGTCAGCTAAACATCGGAGTGCTAACTGCCAGGTTGGCAGTTCAGAACTACCAGTGGCTCCGTAGGAGAAAGATGAGGCTGTCTGTTCCTGTAAAGATAGACAAAGCTCTTGAAAATCCTATCTAGGGCTCTTATGAGCCAGAATGGACTTGACAGCAGTGGGGTTTTTTTTGTTTTGTTTTGTTTTATTTTTTTGGTTTGGTAGCCAGAGCAACAAGGCTAATCTCTTTGCTGATTTTGACAGGCTAAGTCTCAGTTAGAAGTGAATATCATTAGTTTATTTTTAATTATATTTACTAACAGACGTACCTTCTCTTTATGGCAAGTTTTGTTCTTAAATATATATATATATTTAGAAAGCACAAGTGTGGGAACAATTGTGAGGATGAAGCAGGACCAGGCAGTGCTTTGCCTTATTGTACATAAAAGTCTCTGTGAGTCAGAACAGACTGGCCAGCACCTCACACCACCACCATGTTGGAAAGTTCACTTAAAGAAAAATCTCTTGCAGTGTCAGCGGTGCGAGAGATCCTGGTCTGGCCTGGCAGACAAAGCCCAGAAGGGGAACCCGGCAGCAGATGGATGTCTGGTCAGTGAACATGCAGCTGCTGCCAAGCGCTTTTGTACCACTGCTTCACCTTCGAAGAGTCCACCAGCCCGCCCCCACAATCAGTTTGCTGTCATCTTTGATAGTGCCATGGATTAGACTGTGTCCGCCCACTAACAGCAGCATTCTCAGCGGTTGGGCAATTATGTAATCTGGCAGTTGTACAAAGATGTAACTACCCCACTGATGTGATCTGCTCAGCAGTTGTCAGGAGATTGGGGTGAGACGCAACACCCTCACTCAGGTCACAGTCCTGATTTGACCTAAACAGAAGGAGTTTCCAGGCTGTGATCCGCATCTCCTTTTAACTTCTAAGGGAAAGAAGTGAGCAGAGAAGGAGAGACCTACTACCATGAAGAATGAAGAGCTCAGAGTAGAGTATGTTCAGGGTCCCTGAACTGAGAACCTCCTAGACTCTAGGAAAGACTGACGCCATGACACACGGAGATCTCTGAGGAATGCAGGGACCTTTCTCCTTCTTCATGTTCCAATATTCTTATTGGGACAAATCAATGTATTATCTTCTATCACTTGTGTCAGGTTCAAAGCTTTCCATCTTCCCTAACCAAGGTAACCTATCCAATTCACTAAGGGGACCTTTCCCACGCTCATCTGACATGTCAAATAAGCAAGCAGAAAATGAGAACGCTAACACCCCTGGGAAAGTAAACTGTAAGTAGTGGAGCAAAATGATGAGGCAGCATGTCATTTTGTCAAGTTGAATAGCCTTCATTGAGCTGTTTCCAACTGCAAGGGACCCAGGCCACCTCCTCTCACTGACTGTACATCTTTGACCCAAACCACAGGGATGGTTCAGGTCAGTGCAGTCTAGGTAGCATCTCCTGTCACCTTAGAGTGCTCCACCAACCAGGCTGTGTGCCTCACAGGTAGGAAGGAGTAAATCATTACTGTAAATGTTCGCCAAGCAGTTCCCTAATTAGTGTCGCTGATATCAAAGAGAACCAGATGTCTCAGGTTACCAAGTTACTTAATGTAAAACTACTACAACAAATAACAAAAAACAGTGGTCACACAATACTTTGGAAAACTACCATTTCCATGCCACTGATGTTAAAAATGAGATATGTGAGGGTTCTGAGAACCCTCATAAATATGAACTTTCTGATTCCAATTTCACAAACTTTTATTGAGTAGTTAAAGAAAGCACGAGGGTACATGAATGATGCCCCATTGTGAAAATTGATCAAAAACAAATAAATGCTTTCCACAGCCTCAGCCAGTCACAGTTACAAAACTCTAAACAAATTGAGAGTGAGTTCTTTGCAAACAAGGCACAGGAATGGAATGCCTCCTTTCAGTAAGGCTACCGTCTCAGAAGCATACATACCACCATTCTTGAAGCCAAAGTACACTTTCAGAAAAGTCCCATCTTTTCTTTACACTGTTTGATATTTCCCGTTTTTCCTTTTTCTGCAGGGAAATGTTTCTTTAGGTTCTTTTCTTTGTACGTATTACAGGTCATGTCTAAGACTGACCTACTGAGCCTACAGCCAGGGTGATGATCACTCCCGAGGAGGGTGCAGGGTGGCAGGCACAGCCCTTTCTCATGACCAAGACTGTTCCCTTTAGAATTCATGGTCATACATTTGGTGTGCGTGGCTTTGCTACATTTGTGCTTACAAGTTTTTTTATAGTAAGAACATACTTTAATCAGGAAACTTCTCATTTAACTTTGCTCTCTCTTTCCACTAGTATGAGGGCTGAGATGAGCAAGTCAGCTAGATTATATTACACACATAAAGAATACCAGAGCTCTCTTGTGGAGCATCTGGTACACAAGTAGGAACCTTTGCAGGCTTCACACCTTCTACACAGCAAACTCACACCCCACTTATTGCTGCCCAGAGGGAGACATATGGTGTGAGCGTAGACTTAGAGCCAATGCAAGGCAATGGCTTCTCTTTACGTAGGGACTTTCTGGTCTTGAGCTTATAAATCTGTCAAAAATAATTGTTAGGTCGTAGCCTGCCCTGTGATTGGATTATTTTATGTACTTTGCAGGGATGACTCTGTTTACTCTGCAAATATGATGCATAAAGTCACCAATATAGGTTAAATGACCTTGTGGGGATTGGTCAATTTGGGGCCTGGCCGGGAAGGCCATGTCTAGAGATTGATAAAGAACTTGTATATATTACCTGACAGAAGTAGAAAGAAGTCACGGGGGAGAGGGGAAACCCCCTAAGAGCTATAAGATGTCTAAAGAGCGGTGATACCGAAGATGGTACAAGAGCGAGTGAAGTGGCACTAGCAGTACAAGTGGCAGAAACCACAGTATCTAGAGAGGCTGTGGTGCTGCTTGCAGAAAAAAAGAACCGAGCACACAAGAGACTTGCTGGAAGAGCAGAGTGCTTCTGGTCACATGCTGGCAGAGCCAAAAGAGCGGTAACATTTTCCCTGAGCAGTGAAGAGACTCAAGAAGGCCCAACAGCAGAGGCCTGGCTCAGAGAAGCACAAAGGTAAGAGATGGGCTGCCGGCTTGCAGGGAGCCGAGAGCTGCCCCAACGGAAGCTGTCCCCATTGACTAAGATGATCCTGAGTTTAGCCTGTTAATTGTCCTAGAAAAACATGGAATTGTGGGCATGATCTATGAATTGTGAGTGGGCAGGCACCACAATGATTACCAAACCCAGTAGAGAAGTAGGCAGTGCCACGTGGAGAGAGTTGGTGTCAGAAATGGCGAAGAATTTGGACTGAAGGTATATCTGGCATCTACATAGAAATCGGCTGTGTGCTGATCTGCCTTGGGTGTATAGATGAGTACAGATGTTAGATTCCCACCAGCCAGTCTCATCCTTGAGAAACACTGGAGGAAGACCAGCTCACTACTGAGGAAACCCAGTGAGGTTGCCTACTGCTGCTATTCCAGAAGAATTTTCTGTTTACAATTACACAACAACATGACAAACATACCATTTTGGGGGTGGGGTGGGGTTTCTTTTTTTATCGTTTTATTAGGGGCTCATACAACTCTTATCACAATCCATACATACATCAATTGTGTAAAGCACATTTGTACATTCATTGCCATATTTAAAAATTACTTCCATTTTAAGTTTAAGAGAGCCTAGGAAGTTAGGATCTGAACAGAAAATTGATATGTAACCCGAATGATCTCTGCATGCCAGTTAGTTTGGTTTTGGAACCAGAGGCATTCTGGGTACTTCCAGTAGAAACATGAGGGTGCCCAGCTAGCAATCATCAGCTGCAGTCTGGCAGTGCTACCTACTGCAAACCAGGCTCCTGTGGATTTACTTTCACTTAATAATAAAAAACACACGGTGACATAATATTTCCATTTTACCGTTGAGAAAAAAAATCAGCTAAAAAACGTTGCCAAGGAATACACAACTCAGAATTGGCTGAGCCAGAACTGAAACCCAGAGCTGGCTACCACGACAATGTCCCCTCCCAGCCAGTGGCTGATCATAATGCATAACTCCTCGGCCAGAGGGAGAGTCCACGTTTCGTGTTAGAGGATGCTGGCTAGCATTTTTCACACTATAAAATCCCAACTTCCTTGAGACATTTTGGGTTGCCTGCTTC